TCCTGTGCACACAACTGGGGTTATGCACGAAGATCCACTTGTGCCTCTAAATTGCAATATGGATATTCACTTAACATAATGATGTTAATTTGACGTTAGGATCAAATTTGGAAACTGACATTTTTATATGACATATGACAGATGTAAACAATAGAACAATAAAGATTAAAATTCCAAAATTTGGACAGTTATCAAACTGTCAATTACTGCTGAATTTTCACATATGGATTCACATTCAGAGATTCTTTTTGATGAAATAGCAGAAATAGCAGAAATATATAAACCCATGAGCTGTGCATTGGGGAAAATGCAATAAAATAAGAGGACCAGAGTAATTATGCCCAGGAAAGGGGTTAATTAACTTAGTAGAGAACTTCTCAATCTGTCCATGTCCTTTCACCTATGTGTTACAACTTAGGGGTAATAAGAAAGAACAGGTGTCCTGACATCCACCTGGTACAAAATTGGAAACATATATTAGGGAAAAGGAGCTAGCCTAATGTTTAATAATTGTGGGTGGGTGTGTCCAATAAGCAGTACTCAGAATCAGATCTGCAGGACTTAATGTTTTATTATTTACAACCCATTCCACAATCCAGACAACAGGGAGGCAACCAGACAGGCAACCTTGATAAAATCAACTTTATTAACCCTGTAAATATATGAGAGAATAGGAAGAATTGAGCAATTTCCATCTAGGTATATGGTTTCCCCTAGATCTTTCATGTTTTTAATTAGACTGATAAAAACATCCCAGATCATTGTACAATGACAACGTGAGCATCCATAGCCCCACACATTCAGATATTGTTCTTTTTTGTTTGAATATGGAGGGCTCCGTTTTTGAAATCATGAGGATCAATTCAGAATTTGGTTTCCATATTTCAGAAAATAAAAATAAAAAATTCTCCAAAACTGCTGGATTTTAGATACACCATATTTTAAACATAATTTTAGATTATAGGCCATAATAGCTCGACTTTTCAACTTCTACTCTGAAAACGGAGTCGATTTTTTTTTTATACCAATTAAGCTTCTTTGACCAAAAAGTTTAAACTGAATTTGATTTCCAACATTTTATTCTTTAGTTACCCTGATACATTAACTCTCCCTCTGAATATGTACCCTAATTTTATTTAAATCAGTTCCAATACTGATCTATATTGATCAGTATTGCTTCAGACTAGGGGAAGAAAGGAAATCTTTTGAAAGCTTGTCTTTTAAATATTATGTCAGTCCAAAAAAGGGTATCATTGCCCATACTGCAATACTCTGGATATTTTGGGCATCTTATGTCAATCAATATACTGCAGTTCCGTCAGTAATTCCCTAGGTGTCGCTGCTACTTCATGTCTGAATGAAGCTTCAATTTGTTTAAATTCCTGGATTTTGTTAACACACATTTTTAAAGCATCAGCTTTAAGGCCAATGGAAGCTTCCTTTAGCATTATCAATCACTTATATCCAGAAACAGTTTATTACATAGATATTTTCCTGGTCATTTTTTAATGCAGTGAAAAGCGGTTTACAGTGAATACAAAATATATAACAATCTGAATGTGTCTTCTGTGATTTCAAGTTGTCATCTCCTAAATAACAGAAAAGGTAAACTTGTTTTCATTGTCTGGGGGGGAGAGCCTGGTTAAAGTATCAAGAGTGGGAGAACTGATGGTGACAATCTAAACCTCCTGTTTCCCAGAGGGGAGATAATACAATCATCACATGTGGCAAAGAAAACAGAGATTAGGTGCTACTGCTCAGGGTCTGTCAGACTCTCTGGACCATGTTCTTCAAGCCTTTTTAGAGCTGTGTGTATTCACTGCTGTGAGGGTGAGGTTAGCCAGTGTTTGGAGAAGCACAGCTCTGATCACATACATCAAACACATAGGAAGTTTATACACCTAGGGAGTGCGGGAGGGTTTATAAAGCCAGTGAGACAAGCCCTAATCTGTCTTCAGCATGGGTGGCAGACTGATGTGTGCTGCTATAACCCACAGCATGCTGGGTGAGGGCCCCTGGGAACCAGCAGACGCTTAGTGGGTGCTCACAAACAGAGTGGGAGTGGGGTTATGATGTGTTTGCATTATTAGCAGTTATATCATTTTCTAACATGAATCCACACTCATACACCTTATTACAGGCTGACAGGGAGGGAGATCACAGAGGGGAGCAGCCTCTTCTCTCAGTGTCTCTCTGGTTTTCACTCTAGTCTTTCTATTCTCGATTTATCATTTTACCCTTCTCTCCACTATCTTTTTTCATTCCCTCCTCATCCTGTTTCCCTCCTTTACCTCAACGTATCTTCCTCTTTTCCTCTCTGTCTATCCTTCTCTTTTTTCACTTTCTCCACTTTATTAGTTTCCCCTTTAATTCCTCATCTGCTGTTTTCTTTCTTTGTATCCACTTCTCTTTCTCTCCCTCCTTCCTACCCTAAGCTGTCCCTTTACCCCTCTCCTTTCTCTCCATCCTTCCTACCCCAAGCTGCCCTTTTACCCCTCTCCTTTCTCTCCCTCCTTCCTACCACAAGCTGCCCTTTTACCCCTCTCCTTTCTCTCCCTCCTTCCTACCACAAGCTGCCCTTTTACCCCTCTCCTTTCTCTCCCTCCTTCCTACCACAAGCTGCCCTTTTACCCCTCTCCTTTCTCTCCCTCCTTCCTATCCCAAGCTGCCCTTTTACCCCTCTCTTTTCTCTCCCTCCTTCCTACCCCAAGCTGCCCTTTTACCCCTCTCTTTTCTCTCC